TTGTTGGTTTATGGAAATCACGTACAGAGCCTTTCCAGTAATAGAGTATTCATCCTGCTTTATTTAACAAAGTACTGTGTATTTGAATGGAAAACTTCATCTACATCTAATTGTATCTAATTATTTCTTCACAGCCTAAAACTACGCTCTCTTCGAGTGAACGTTGGGCAACTTCTGGCTACAATCATGCCTGATCTAGACTTGCAGCAAGTAAATTACGATATTGATGTGGTAGATGAAATTTTAGGACAAGTTGTAGAACAAATGCATGAAATCAGTAGTACTTAATATTTTAAGATTTTAGCAGACTGTTTCTTGATCTTCCAGTATAACCTTTGTGTAGGTTCAAAATTGTATATACTGCTTCTTCACTTTATATATTTGACATAATTTGATCAATAAGGGTATATACTATATGCGTTTAGATGTTCCCACAGATGCAGTGGGTGTTATATTCACTTCCTCTTAAAGGAACACTGTTAATATTGACCAACCCTGATGTACTTAATTAAGGATTTTGCTTTTAAAATATATTTGTAATTAAATTTGCAAATATTTTTACTATTAGGAATCTTAATACTTTTCTACAAAAGCTTTTTTGTTGACTTTGATCTTATATAAGCATTAATATTTGCAATTAGTTCCTCTTCTAAAATCTAAGTGGTAGAATCTATTAAAAATGCAAAAAACAACCTTCCTTGATTTCCTTCTCAGAACAAATCTTAGTGGTGTTGTTGTATACTACAGTATTGTTCATTGCTATCAGCAATGATATATGTTGCATTAACAGGATAGAAATGTAACTAGTAGATGAAAATTTTGGTCATATGGGTAATATTTGTGTTTGACTACCAAAAGAAGAAAAATTCCTTAAGGGTTTTGTCCTGAAAACTGATCATTTTTGACTCCCTTTTGGATTTTTCGATGTCCCTAAAGAACATTATCTGTACATAGTTTTGTAGCATAAACAACTCCATGCGATACGGCTAGGATATTTCAGCCTTTTCAGTGATGGAAACCACATGCCTGTTTGTGTCCTGCCCTTGCTGCTTGATTGTTGTTTCCTGTATCTAAGACCCTGTCTCTGTTTGAGCATAGTCAGAGGGATCTTCAGTTCTGCCCTGGACTTCCCATTTGAACACAGTCGTGCTGGTTCACAGCTCCGGGTATGTACCAGTACACGGCTTCAATGGTCAGATTCCACACACAGCTCTTGCCTACTTTTTTTCCAAGTCAAAGGCAGCTTGTGGAATGGAAAGCATCCTGGTGGACCACTGGAGAGAACAAGCTGGGGTGGCACATCCAAAGCTAGGTAGGATTCCTGGGCAACCTCTGCTCTGCATCAAATGCCACCTCTTTAGACCTGAAGGTCTTTATTCAGGGAAACCTAGTGCTGAGCAAGGTTGACATAGAGGTTCTGTGATGTATACAAATGCTCATATGTATTATTTCAAAAAACCAAATTGTTTCAGTATTAAACACAAAGCTTGCTGTGGAGTCTTTCAGGCTGAGATGCGAGAGTGCTGAGATTTGTCTCCAAAATTTACCTTTCTATCAGAATGTACCGTGTTGAGTACAAATGAGTCGGGCTACTAATTCCTTGATTAACTAGTTGAATTGGAAGTACTTTGAAAAGAGGGCATGTTTCCTTATCTGTGGTGTTAACTGCTACAGAGTGAGCTAAAGCTGAAAATGTTCAAATGTAATTGTTTATGCTATCTTAAGGTTTAAACATCTTTTATTACAGGCAAAACAGGGGATTCCCTCTTCTTTCCCTCCCTTTTTTTTGTAAATATTTTATAGTGACTCTTAAGACACTAGTTCTATGCTCTAATGCTTATGTAAAAACTTCCTGGAAGAAATGGTACCAAGAGAAATCACTGTTAGAGTGGTGACAGTATTTTCAGGCTATTGCATGCTTTTCTTCTGAAGTCATCAGGTATCAGAAGAGAGGTGTCAAATACTGCAAATCCACCTTTTATTCTGTGATGGTATTTGTCATCCAAACAGCAATCAAGATAATTGATTCTTGATTTCAAAAAAATTCTAAAAAAAAATTAAATAATTAAAACTTAAAAAAAAAATCATGAAATAACATTCAATATGTTTATTCTTAGGAACTGTATTTTTTTATAAAGCCAACAGTTTTGGCTTTTGCACTGCTACTGTCCTGTTTTAATTAGATTATGTTCTTTTTAGTTGTAGTTCAGTCAGTTTCTTTCGATGGGCAGTATTTCAATTTTAAGATGCTATTTACTCTAATATGCCAATAAGGGTAATGCAGTACTGTTGTACTTTATAATGGATAAATTGAATGTTTGATTTTTTGAAGAGGTGGCTGTAATATAACTGTTTGTATGACTTTTTAAAAGTTTATATTTTCCATTTATTGGTGTGTAGTTTTCCATTTCTTAATCATTATTTATTATGTTTCATCAGACTCTGTAGTTTAATTTCTTACAGACAACTTGCGAAATACAGCATATGTCTATATTGAAAATGGCAAATTTACCCTGTACATTTACACTTTGGAGAACAGTGGACTAATGGAAATGGTTTTTATTTACTTGTTAAAATGTATTTTTTGTAATAAATAAATATATAAATCTGAGTTTGCTGGATCAAAACTTGTACGTGATCAAATGCAATGTTTTTGTTTATAAATAAACACTATGCAGAATGGCTAATGTTTCTGGCTTATTTTAAGTATTTGATCTTACAAGAAAGCTGGCTCGGTCTGGTTTTGAGCAGAGGACACGTGCACACCGTGCATACCCTCACACCAGGTTGGGGCATCCCAACTGAGCCCAAACCAGGTGGATGTGCTGCCTCAGACGGTCAGTTTTGTGGAAGGATTCTGTTACCCAATTACAAGACTCTTACTGTGATAGGTTTTGGGACAAAACTCTTTTTCAAGGCCTTGTTGTCTTTGTGGTGCTAAGGCAGGAGTGACGGGAAGGCCAAGAAGAGTGAGGGGAGGTGGAACCACCTACCCCTTGGGGTCACAATAAGTTCTTGGATCAGATCAGCTCTCCTTGTGAAATTGTGCCCTTAGGCTGGTTGATCCGCTCCCCAGCATGAGAGACTCAAGTACTTTCAGATATTTTTGTGGCTTTTTTGTGGCTGAGGCAGACTGCTCTTCCCTGATGGGTGCTTGACTGTCCTTTAGGACAGATGGCTAACAAAGAGGTGGCATTGTGCAAGGTATTGTTATGGAAACTTTCTGGCTATGGGAAAAACGGTGCTGTTATCATCTAGGGTATGTGTTAACTGAATTTCAAGGAATTTCCTGCTTTGAGTATAGGGGTATGTAATAAAAAAAATTTTATCAAGAAGTTTTGGTAGGGACGGGATGTGGTTGAGACATCACAGAAGGTTGAATAGGATGTGAAACTGTCTTATGTCTTCTTTTGCAGTTGTTGACCATGACTTAGACATAAGATAGCAAAAAATATAACTTCTGGACCACAGTTGAGCTAAGAGATATGCCAAACTAACTGTGGGTACTTATAATGCTAAAATGCACACCTCTTTGTGAATAATGAGCATGCCAATCAGGTAACCTCCCGAAATGTTTGAAACATAAGCTGAGTTAGTAGTGGTGAATGAATGATTATTAACCAACCAGTTGTATTTTATTGTTAGAAATACTGGGTGGTTTTGAAATGTGTGTTGTGCTGGCTGCTGTTAAATGCCCAGCACTCGATTCTGCAGAATTGAAATAAAACCAATTATCTTGACTCAGTGTGGTCACTGGCGCTCACACACCAGCTGAAGAACCCTGATTTAGGGATGACTGGTGTCCTCCCGTGCTTTCTGCTGTGTGAGTGAAATTTCAAATCGAGTACAAGGAGTTGCACTGTCCTGGCTTCCTAAGCCTCGTCACACTTGCATGGACACCTTGCACTAGAGCAGGTTGCTCAAAGCCCCATCCAACTTGACCATGAACACCTCCAGGGATGGGGCATCCATAGCTTCTCTGGACAACCTGTTCCAGTGTCTCACCACCCTCACAGTAAAGAATTTCTTTCTAGGGGCGTCCTGTCGCTGGCGAGCGCCTTGGGGTGAGCCCCCTCAGGGCGGCGGGGGGGGTGCGGGGGCTTTGGGAAGCGGCCGCCGGTAGCGGTGCCGCCCGGAGCGAGCGAGGGGCGCCTCTGCCTTCCTGCTGCCCCCGCCGGGGCCTTGGTGCCCTCTCTTGTTTTGGCTCCCGAGCGCCTTGCTCAAAGCCCCATCCAACTTGACCATGAACACCTCCAGGGATGGGGCATCCATAGCTTCTCTGGACAACCTGTTCCAGTGTCTCACCACCCTCACAGTAAAGAATTTCTTTCTAGTATCTAGTCTAAATCTCCCCTCTTCTGGTTTGCAGCCATTACCCCTCATCCTATCACTACACTCCCTCATAAAGAGTCCCTCCCCATCTCTCCCGTAGCTCCTTCAGGTACTGGAAGGCCACTATAAGGTCTCCCTGGACCCTTCTCTTCTCCAAGGCTGAACAACCCCAGCTCCCTCAGCCCGTTTCCACGGGAGAGGTGCTCCAGCCCTCTGAGCATCTCTGTGGCCCTCCGCTGGACTCGCTCCAACAGGTCCGTGTCCTTCCTGTGCTGGGGCTCCACAGCTGGACACAGTACTCCAGGTGGGGTCCCACCTGTGGCCAGTGTAAACATAAAAATATCTCAAATACAGCAAAGGCTTTTTTTTCTTCTTTTGGGGACTGGGAGAGCTTTGGGCTGGTTTAACTTTTGTGTGTTTTTTCCAGTGGGCAGCAAAAGCTCCTTTGGGCAGGGCAAAAGCAGCCGAGGCAGAAGAAACGGCAGGCAAAAAAGCTGCCCCAACCCCCCCCCTCTGCCGAAACCGGGATGGGGGGGGGTGGTGGTGGGCCCCGCTGCCCACGGTCCCACCGGCGGGCCCGGCGGAGCGCTGCTCTGACGCCCCTCCCGTCTCCGCCAGGGGGCGCTGCCGCACCGCCGGGCGTCCTTCAGCCCGCGCAGGCGCGAGGGAGGGCTGGGGCGGGAAACCCGCTCCCGCGCTGGAGCCCGGCCAGGCGCGCGCGGCGCCACAGGTAGGGGCTGCTTAACACACAC